TTGGTTTTAAGTAACCAAACAATTTGTGTTCCATTTATGTCCAGTGTCTTTTATTTAGTAAATTACTTTGATGAAATGCTTATCTAAATGATACCTAAAGATCCCTACAAGATTAAAATTCTGATTCTATGATGTGAATAATTGACATATGCTTTTACTTCTTGACTTTGAAGAGGTATTGCTGTAGTTTGAAGTTTAGACATACTGTTGTTCCTCCCAAAACACAACTCCCATCCCTAAACGTGCAACCTATCACATGTCAGGAATAACACAGTTTAGGTTAAACTACAGAATTCAAGCATAAACAGTGGTAGATTTGGTAAGAACTAACTCCGGGGACTTTGTTTAAAAAGTCAGATTATTACACATACATATTTTTTCCTTGTTCGATTTTTCAATGAGCTCTCCCACTGCAGCTCAAGGGAGATTAAGGGAGAAAACCTACATAAACACAAAGCAAAACCCTGAGCTTGTGTGTAAAGCTACCGCACTGGAGCGAATGTGGTTTAATTCTTGGCACTGGCAGTTTGTTGGAGAATTACAATATGTTGGCATGAGTCTCTAGGTCTCATTGTTCCAGATGAGGGAGTCAGTCTTAAGAGTGTTTGGCACTGAAGGGAAAAAGGAGTGAGAGTTATAGGGAATGAACAGGCCCTAAAGAGGCAGGATGCTGTTGTAACAATGGCTGGCACAGTTGGGGGGGGCCATTCACTGGTGGGGATTGCCATAGGCATTGATGTGAAGAAACATATGTGAGCAAAAGAGGCAAGGGTGAGGAAGGAAAATCAAGCAAATGTATCAAAAGGGTCCTGATAGCATAAAGAGACAAAAGTAATCCAATTAGAGTCATCCTAATATTAATGGATTGACTGATTAGGATATCTGTCATCACCCTCTAATATATCTGATAGCTTATTTCTTACCATTTTTTTTAAATTTTAAAATATGTACACATATATGTTTCCCTTAAAGGAAGAGATCCCTGAATTAAAAGGCCCTGGCTTTGTATTCCCTCTGTTCTACTCTCTGGCTAGGGGATGCTGGGAAGAGCATCTTTCTGAGCCTTAGTTTTCTCATCTGCAAAATGGGTGTAATAACAATGCATACCATTGACAATCCTGTTGTGTCTGACAGCATTATGTAAACTGAAATACCATGCAACTAATAAGAGGTACTATTATGTCTGACACTTATTTTATTTTATTTTATTTTATTTTATTTTTTTATTTATTTATTTGAAACAGAGAGAGAGATCACAAGTAGGCAGAGAGGCAGGCATAGAGAGAGAGGAGAAAGCAGGCTCCCCGCTGAGCAGAGAGCCCGATGCGGGCCTCGATCCCAGGACCCTGAGATCATGACCTGAGCCGAAGGCAGAGGCTTAACCCACTGAGCCACACAGGCGCCCCTGACACTTATTTTAATATAGGGAGCACTAGTTTTCATTTTGACGGTAGTTGCGATACTTCAATGTTGGTCTCAGGAAAATCTGTAAAGGCACTTATAATAAAACTGTGGCACATCTTAATGTGGAAATGATGGATAATCCAGAATTTGAACTTCTGGAAAATAAGTATGTCCACAAACATACTATACCTACTCACAGTATAAAATATAATTCTACATGTATTACAAAAAAAATCTCCTTTTAGAAAATGAAATATTTAGCAGATAACTACTATCTTTTTTAGTCCATAAACACTGAAGCAACACTTATATAATTGTGTCAAATTTCACTCTAATCACATTCACACATTTAATGAACAGGTGTATTATAAATATTGGGATTTTGCCATTTGGTCTTTTACAGTTTTTGTCATTTATATTCTCTAGTCATTTATATTTTCAGAGAAATTCAGTCATTGGTACCGTGCATCCACTGTGTTCATTATGACCTTTGTGAATCATAGTTAACCGTCTTCATTAGCATCCATGGTGAAATCATTTCTTAACCACCTCTTCATGAAAGACCTGTGGAGACAGTAGCCTTTGGAGGAATACTGGATGTGGATTCCCTTCAAGCTCTTTATTTTATAGTAGTTCAGATAAAGAGGTGAAGTGGGTGAAATGATATGCTTTTGGTCCCCCTGACCTTGGGATCCACTAGGTTGAACTTAGCTCCCTATGGGCAACTTCTCAAAATAATCTTCTGAATTAGATATTTCCCTAAGCTTTAGTTTCTTAAGTGGTAAACAAATGCACCAATACCTAATTCAGAAGATTATTATGAGAAGTTTGAGATACCACATGTAAAGGACCTGGTACACTGCTTAGCACTTAGTCCTCAAAATAGTAGCTATCATTATCATTTCATTGTTGACAAGAGAGTTTGGAATTTGTAGGCAAAATAAAACAAAACAAAACAAAAAACAAAATCTTACTTCAAAAAGTCAGCTCTGCCCATTACATTTTGTAAGACCTCAGACAAGTCCCTTTTTTTTTTTCTGCTTTTGTTCTTAACCTGTGTGGTGGATGTAATAACACAATCTGAATCTTCAGGTATCGGTTATGTTAAATGAGAGACTACCGACAGGAAAAAGCATCTAACACAGTTCCTGGCGCATAGGCTGCTTGATAAATGTTTCTTGAATCTGCATTTAAAATATATACCTCATCCAAGTTGCAAATATTAGTGTCTTTCTTCATCCACACACATGACATCCCCGGGTTAGATATGTTTCTGATTTTACATCTTCCAAATTATTTGGTCTTTAAGAAGTTTTACTCATTTTTCTGTAGTGTCTATTCAAAGTCAGGGACTTGAAAAAGAAAAAAAAAAAAAAAGTGGCTCTGTATAGGAGCCTTCTATGTAAGTTAATAAAGAGGCCAGGAATGTTCTGCAGGTTTCAGAATTCTGGCGGCTGTTACTTTAACTCTGCAACTTAGACAGAAGACTTCTGTTTCTTTATGAGCACACTACAGTGAATATTTTGTCTAGCTGCAGGGGAAAAGCTTTGTCATGGACTTTGCAGACAATAGCCTTAAAAGTAAAATGGTCTGCTTTTGGTGCCGGGAGGTTCAGGGGCCCATTGTTAGTGCACAATGGATTTCTATTGCTGCATTCCTGCTTTGCAAAGGTTTGTTAGCTTTTAATGACTGACAGTACTCTATTGCAAATACCGTATTGGCTGTGCCCTGTTTACATGCTACTCAAGAATTTTTGTGGAGTGCTGGAAAAAAGAAACAGTGGTGTTTGTTTGACCTACTCTGATAAGGTTTAAAAAATGATTTCGTTCATGAAGCGTTTACTGGGAATGTAGAAACATTGGAAATCCGTGTAGAAGTGTTTTAAAGTTACTTTTAAAGCCTCAATGAACAGAAATATTGATTACAGTAAGAGATTTAAGCCGTTTTATTACTCAGAGTTGTCATTACCATTTTTAAAACCACTATGGTACAGAAAGAGAGATTTTAAGAAAAAGTAACTTCTTAAGATCTGTCTTCCTTAAAATGTAAGAAATGGAGATACCTTGTAACAAAGGAAAAAAAAAATCTTACACATTCCGTAGTAAATTGCATAGTAAATGTGTACACAGTAATTGTGGTAAGGGTGTGTGTGTGTGTGTGTGTGTGTGTATGCGCCATATGTATAGACTGCAGACTATGTGAAGCACTAACCACTCAGAGCCTTTCACCATTTTATTTTCCAGAAGTTTTTGACATCTGAAAAAAAAAAAATTCCATATTGTCATGATTTTTCCAAGGAAATTTCACCTCCACTTTGTTGAAAACTCCACATGGGCTTTGTGACTCTGACAGCCAATGGCTGTAAGATGGAGGACTGAGAGAAGTAGATAGCATTAGCCAAAGATGATGATGATGCCTTAAAATGCATTTTACTGTGGGGAAAATGAACCAGTTTCTAATAATCTTATGGTCTCTAGGCCAGACGGTCCCTTTGATAAGTTAACATGTACTCCCTTTATGCTCCTAGTAGGGGGTAAACAAATGTCGGAACAAACACAAATACACATAAACACCAATGTGGAGAATGGCAGGGTATGTCTTAGATCCAGATAATAAGTGTGGGTATTGTTATTTAGATGGAGCATACTGGGACACTTATCTTTTAGTACACTCCATTTTCTCACTGAATGCAGTGCTAATCGTGGGATTGAAAGCCATTGTAATTGTGTACCCATCTAAACGCTGACAAGAATATACAATTACATTGTTTGGAATTGAGTTTAATGTTTGGGAGTTTTATTAGCATTTATGTTTACTTATACATTAAAATTCAACACAAAAGAAGAGGTCAAAAACCATGTGATGTATAGAAACAAATATCAGACTTTAGCATAACCTTGCTCTTTAAAATATATGTGCCTTGTCTCAGTACTGGGCATTTTAAAAGAATGTGAGACAAATCTGAAATAAGCAAATAATAGGTTTCCATTTAAGGCATTACTCACTTTTCTAGATTTTGCAATCTTTGTAAAGCTTCTTTTATACCAACTTCTTCTTCTTCTTCTTCTTTTTTTTTTTTTTTTTAGTGTTCACGGTACTGGCAAATCTTTCCACAGTGTGCTTACCACCATACGATGTTAAACACATATTATAAAGTGGATGTAATTGTAAACACACAGAGGGATATAATTACATGTAGCAGGTTTAAGAGCTAATTCTTTGCCTTTTTTTTTTGCTCTGCATTTTATCAACATAATTATTTTTTGACTGCACACTAACACCCTGAAATTGACAAGCATCTATTATAGCAGGAATTTGTTCACCAAATTGAAAAACAATGAACTGCAGGTTTATATGTACCCATTGTCATAAAGAATTAGTACGGCTTTGTTCCGCAAGAGGAAAAAGCTAATGATTTTGAAACAGCAGGTGACAAAACACATTTTTCCCCCCCTGTTATCAGTTTGTTGATGAAGTCATTATGAACTGGGGCCCGGATAGGGATGGCCTTATTTTTAGCAGATAGACTTTTAATGAGCTGCATTATAAAGATAGTCATGTTGATTTGCTTACATTTTTTTTTTTCCTTTACTTAGAGACCCCCAGTATTGAAAAGCTACTCTCAAAGGACTGGAAAGACAAACTTCTTGCAATGGGATCAGGGAATTTTGGTGAAATAAAAGGTAATGTATCTGAAATTATTTTGATGTGAAATGTACAAAAATGAAGTTTATGTTTTGAAATATAACAGTGATACAGTGCTTCCCCACCCACCCACCCCCCGCCGCCCGCATCTCCCTCCTGCTCCATGCATTCTCTGTCTTTGGTGTTTCTTTTTTCTAGCTTGAAAGTGGATCTATCAGGGTTCTTGTTTTCTCTTTGTTTGTGCCTTATTAGATAAATGGAATGTCAGTTTAATAGAATCATCCTCATTGTATCTTCAAAAGGCTTTGGTTTTCATCATTTAAAAATTTTTTTTTAAATGATTTACCTTGTAAGTAAGAATGTATTTCTATCAGGGTTAAAAACTGCCCATTATGAGATGATTTTATGCATTCTACATATTAGAAGTGTGGAGGTACATAATCTACCTTTAAAACTAGAAATGATGAATGGAGAAAGCTTCATAAAAGATTGTTTTTTACTAACGAGAGCAACATTTTTGGTTTTGTTTTATTTGAATCCGACACTACATACAACTAAGAGGAAAAGTCTATGTGGACTTTGTCATACTGAATATTCATATCTTAATAAACTTTTACTAACTACAGTGAGAGAGGGTTTAATTTCTCGTATAAAAAATAGAGATAAATGGTCATTTCAGTTCATTTTAGTGTGTTTTCTCAAAGCGTAGTAGGCAGTCTATGGTTTTCTATTTGTTGCCAATAGCATGCTTGATTCTGAGTTCTAAAGGATTGATTTTGAGAAAAAAATACTTATTCATCAATATTAAAATATTTAGTTATATATTACTCTATATTTTTTGGTAGAAGCTGAATATATTTAAAATATCACCAGATTTATATTAATATACATGTAGAAATATGTGTATAAATAACTTTTTTGCATATGTATGTATGGGCACGTGTTCTCCCGATGAAAAAGGCGATTGTCTTTCTTATGGCTCTACTGCACTGGAGCTTCCTGCCGAAAGGCAGGACACTAGCATCCCAGCATTTGGAAACTTCCAGAAAATGCTGGACTGAGCCTTTCACTTTTCATCCATTCTGATTGAAGTTTACATATATTCAGGTTATGATGAAGTTTGCTTTGGTGGTGAGAGAATGAATGGTGCTAATGAACACATTCAGTAACCAAAATCTATAATGGAATCAAATTCAAACAGATAATACTTTATATGCCTTAAAGAGCTTGAAGACCAAGTTTAAACAGAACAGAGAAATTTCTCTTCCGAGGCAGTAGATCCTTTACATTATTATGTTGGATTTTTAACCCATTTGCACCCAAGATACAGGATGTGTTCTCTCCAAGGTTCTTTATTCTCCTCTGACCTAGGTGATAACTGAGAGTAGAACAGAGAAGACCGCCTGTTCCAAGCCTTGTGATCTCGTTCCATTGGAGGACAAACATTTTTCCCTCCCTCGTTTTCTTCACAAGTCAGACTTAAAAGCAGCCCCAGCAGTGATGATAAGCTTGGAGGAAAGCAGCTCCTCTCTCCTTTCAGGCTTGCCTGTGGGGTTAGTTCAGGAAGCTGCAGTACGGTCAAAAGAAGTCCCGTCTTTAATTTTGAGTTTTTTAAGCTTCACGTTCAGAGCATAAGTTTGGTTATTGTCCTCTGGTTCTGTTCAGAAGGCTGTTTTCTGATGCATTTAAAAAGCAACTGTGGATCTTTCTTCTGTTGGGGGCATGGTTATTAGGTGCTTGGATAGGTTTGGCAGAAAACTGGGAAAACAGCGCTGGCTTACTTTTCCTACTGACTGCCCGTGACAGTAGCAATTACTCTCCATTGTTCATAGGTGGCGAGAAAGTGGAAAGGATACAATAGTGTGTAGCCCTCTGGGGGTAAATGAATTTGACTTAATGGTTCTTGGGGGGTCAGACACTATGATTATGCCATGCCCAGGAATGTGGTTTTCATGCCACCTCAGAAGTTATGTGAGAACAATGGTTTAGCTGTTTTGCAGCCTTTTTTTTTTTTTTTCAAATATGAAGCGAATAAAGGTGTAAGTCTCCTGTATGTGCTCACTGTTTTGAGTTGAGATAGGGAAAGATAAGTGTGAGTTTTTTTTTAATCTGGAAATATGAACTTATTCAATTATTAGATGATTAATGATAATTGAGAATAATATATTTCATAGACTCTTTGCATATGTTAGGACATGTACAGCCTTCACAGTATTTACTGGGTCTTGTCAATTGAAACTTTTCTCCTCTGTTTATCCTGGTCAGTTTTCATTTAACTTTTAATTAGTTCCAGAAAATGTGTGAGTGAATGACTGTGTGTGTGTGTGTGTGTGTGTGTGTGTGTGTGTGTGCACGCGCGCGCGGGCATGTGCACGAGCAGGAGCACGTCCATTCTTGAATATCTAAACCTGTAGATAAGTGAGGGCAGAGCACAGTTCCCAAGCACTAGCTTCAAGTTGTTGCATGTGAGTAACTTTCAGGGCATTTGGACAACAGTTAATATTATAGTTTGGCAAAGTTCAAAGAAGGGTTTCTTGCTATTACTGTTTAAAAAGTTAAATCGATAAACTTTTAAAAATAGGGGAGATAAATAGCATTTGGTTTGGATATTTTAGCTCTCCATAAATAGCTGTCATACCCACTTAAAGTCAATCTCATTTTTCAAGAAACAATGTGGGTTAGTAAAGGTCATCCACTTCTGAGAGCATAAAATTATTTTTCATGTTAGATTATTTCACCTGTTAGAATTTATGCCATTTTATGGTCTGGTACTTTGGAAATGTGAAGTAATTAGGTTTTAAAGTTACATTTGAGACAGCCCTCTAAAGAACATCCAAAAAAGACACCAGATCCAGTTTTGCAAAATGAAACCGTTTGGCTGAAAAGCTTGGTCAGCCATCAATACATGTGTATCCACTGATGAGCTGCCTAAAGAAATTATTTCTTTCTTCTTCACCAGTCAGCTATCTTGTGCGACTGGTCCGCTTACAGAATGTTTTGTTGTTACCTATAGCAGAAGCACTGAGTAAGGGTTGTGTGAGAGGTGAAGAAATAGCTCTTAGAGCCTCATAGCTCCTGAGAAGGGGACAAAACCATGCCTGCCCTCCCGTTGGCAACCGGGACTGTCACACGTTGTTTTTAGTTCGCATGAAGTTCCATTACACTGAAGGTCATTGCCTTGGCACCTCACCTGAGCACAGTATCTGGGGACCCATGCAGCTTTGACTCATCTAAACAGATCATTTGCCTTTCAATAAAGTCTTTGCAGAGTTCGTATTTTATGGACTTAAATTTTTTTTTTTTTTTTTTTGTAGAATTGTGACCAAAAAATCTGCATGCAGAATTCTCTCAAATAATTCTATCTTGGTGAAGTTAGAAAAGCTTTCCTCTCTAGGTCCCTCAGGTGAGGCCAGATCAGTTTCCCCACCTGCCTTATGTAAAGAATTCTTCAGAGCCTTGTTTCTTTCCCACTGGTATCCCTGGAAGACCCTTTCTCACCATGCTCAGAAGGCATTAATTTAGGCTGGGAATGTGTTATATCCGGTATTCAGAAAAATGCCAGCTGCAGTTGGTATAATAAAAAATTGGCTTTTTAAAAAGCTATAATTTTGTTCTTTCTAGAAGATGGAACATAAAGGCAAACACCCGACTGCTCTAGAATGCCAGTAACAGATTCGAGGAAATAACCTATTCAGTGACACTTTGGCCTCTTAGAACTCAGGATAGATACATGCTTTTAGATTCAACATGTGGGTTAAAGTAGATCCTCTGGTAGGTGACATAACATTTTGAGATAAAAGAGATACATGGATTCAGTATGTGGCTTGAAAGAGATAATCCTGTCCAAATAACATTAGAGAATTTGTAAACAATCAGGCTTGGAATAAGAATCAGTTCCCAGGTAACAAATCTAGTAGGGGATCCTTAGAATTTTTAAATTTGAAACATGGAAACTAAAATCCCGGTTTAGGTATGTAAGAGTTTGTAACACTTTGAAAGCTGTTTTAAATCCTTTCTTTTAAAATCAAGAAAACTATTTAAGAATCACAGGTTTTGCTAATAATAACTTTGTGACTTATTTCATTTGCACCTTAACCTAAAAAATATGTCTGCACATTTGTGTAAAGGAGTTGGAAATGTTGATTACTTTTTGAGGGAACTGTTGCATCTGAAATTTGTTCATTGCAAGAGTCAGCCGTGAGGAAGGTTCATAACATACAGTCATTTACTTCTAAATAAAGTGAATGCTTAATGTTTTTAATCTACTAAGCTTGTTTTATAGTTCCTCTGTGGTTGCTTATGAGTAATGTGTTCACTTAAAAAAAAAAAAAAAACCTACTTTGTGAGAACCGGAGAAAGACTACCAGTCCACAGCATATAAGGTTTTAAAGTAAGTTTGGCAAGGTCTGAAAAAGCAAAAAGTGACTTTCTCTTTTCTGCCCATCAGCGACTTGCTCTGTCCCAGAATGCCAGAGGCTTTATGCCAGTGTATAAACATAGTAAGTGATGGAAAGAGAATGGTCAGACACGGGATCTCATTGATTTCTGTATTGATGATCTAGTCCACGAATTAAGAAGTTTTATATACCTTTCAAAGAAGGTACTTAATGATGCATGTTTTATTTTTTATTTTTAAATTTTTAAAAGATTTATTTATTTTATTATAAAGAAAGAGAGAACAAATAGGGAAAGGGGCAAAGAGAGAGATTCTTCAAGCAGATTCCCCACTGAGCAGAGCCCAATGAAGGGCTCATTGCATGAACAGTGAGATCATGACCTGAGTCAAAACCAAGAGTCAGATGCTTAACAAACTGAGCCATGCAGGATCCCCAATAATGCATGTTTTAAACAGATGCTCTTACATATTAAATCTGATTCTGTATGTGAAAATGAAAATATGCCTTCCTGAACATTTTTTCTCGTTTAAAAATACATCCATTCATTTAATAAGTATTCATTTGTGCAAGGGATGTGAAGATTCTAAAATTGAAATAATTTTAAAACCATAATTTTTTTCTTGTAGATATGGACTCCAAAA